TATGCTGTTGGCTTTATTATATTTCAATACCATTATACCATCTGCGCGGATGGTTTTTCTCTTACAACACGAATCTCAGCCAAACGTTCTCCAACATCCAATAGCATCGTTAGATTACCAAATACTGGTGCAAATACTGCAGGACAAGATTGGAAGAGCATTTACACAAAAAATCATCTTGCCCTCTGCCCATTAACTAATCAAGTCATATAACTACGAATCTGCCTAGACAGCAGAATGACAGTAAAACCCCTTCACAAGTCTTACGAAGGAACAAGTTAACAAAATATTTGAACAACTACGAACACGTTTAGACCAAAATCTGCTTTGTGGGGTTCCAGATATCTAATATTCTAGGAATCCAATTCTTACAATTAAAACTACTCAGACAAATTGCGAAATATCGGAATACTGACTGCTATCTTCATCGACCTCAATTTTTTTTGTTTTTGATCAAATAATCCAAACGTTTTACACAGCTCTCGATCCATCCTAACACTTATTCTAAAAATAGAGGGAAAATTCAAAAGGTGCGGTTGAGATGGGAAGTTGGTGTCCGAGTGGATCGAGGTCACGATAGCTCAGGTGGTAGAGCAGCGGCGTATCTAGCCGAAGATCGTGGGTTCGAATCCCGCTCGTGCCATTGACTTTTTTATCTCAACTAAAAACCTAAATTTATTGAATTATATTAATTGGTCAAGCGGACCACGAAAACTAGTGAATTTAACTTATTCTAAACTTCTCTCTCCGCTTATCCACCACGAGAACCTACTCTCCTTAAAAGGACGATGTCTTCGAGTCCTTCTCCCCCTTAATCCAACATTTTTAGTACCAGCGTGTCATTTATTTTCAAAAGGCGCCACAGGGAAATTTTAAATTTAGCCTGCGAATTAACTGCCTTTTAAACAAAAGCTCGCACTTCTCGACTTCTAATTATTGTCTGTTTGCTTTCAACCCCGGGAAATGTCGTCCATAATTTTTATTATTTGAACATGTTCTCTTTAATTTGTTCAAGGTGCGGCTGAAGACTTGGATTTTTTTAAAACTTTAAATTAAGTTTTGAAATACAAAGAGACAGAAAAAGATTTCTTCCTCATAAATCACTTAACCCTTAATGAGAGCTCTTAATATCTCCGTTGTCGGAAAAGCTTCATTTATTAACGAAATAATGGAAAAGAAAACTCTTCGGTCGGCTATTAAGTCGCCCTCGTATTTTTCATTGCATTAACAATGACTAAATTTAAATGAAATATTTTTTTCCATAAAATAATTATCAAGTTTAATATTATAAACAACAATTTCGAAATTCGCAAAGTAAACATATATAAATTAAAGAATATTTACATTTATTTTAGTGGAGAACCACTAAAAAATGCATTACGATATACACGAGTATAAATTCTTCGGTATAAAATTTGCATAAAAAAATTCCACTCTGGAGTAAGCCGAGAGAACAGGCCCTATATCATTTCTAATTTATTTTCTTCTTAAAAGTACATAAATGGATGTGTGCTGCGAAAAGCAATCTACAATCTTCTTTTCTTTTGTTGAACGCTTGCAGTAATAACAATAAATAATAAATAATATTTTACCAAAACCTATTAATAAAAATAGCTTTTTATTTATTTAGAAATCGTGAGATGCTGTCTGGTGTGATGTAGGTTTCAGAAAAACATTTTCTTTATCGTGCCAACGTTTCGATCTTTATTGAGATCGTCGTCAGGGCCTGGGATTTACGTCCGATAACTTCAAAATAGCTTTCAAAAATTACAAAACAATTCAAACACTTTTTTCCAAAATTAAAGATCCCACACCAATAACAAATAAATCTGACGTAATCTACAAGATCAACTGTTTAAACTGTCCGGCGACTTACATCGGTCTTACATCCCAATATCTGGACAAGAGAGTAAAGCAACATATCTATGATTGCAAAAAACCTAAGCAAAATCCTACAGCACTCACTACCCACCATCTTGAACACCAACACAATTTCGACTTCAAAAATCCAAAAGTATTATACACAGAACAAAACAAACATAAACGTTATTTCTTAGAAATGGTTTATATCAACAGAAATAAACACATCCCTAACCATCCCTAAAGACAGCATCAATTACAGAACAGATACATGCAAATATTTTTCACATAGTCTAATTTCCCAACTATTTAGCTTTCCTTCTTCCTATTTTATCCCTTTCTATATAATCCTGAAAGGATAATCTGACCGAACCATTAACTACACATTTTTCCCCTTCGTCGGCTCTTTTCTCCTCAAAGAAGCCGACGCCTTATACAAAAATCGCATCTCACGGTTTCTCAATAATTAACGGTTACTAATCACCACACAAATAAAAATAGCGTTCGTTAGCTTTACATCTTTGTCTAAGAAAAAATTCGAAATTAAAAAAAAAAATTCTCTTTAGATACTCCCAACCTCCCAACCCTACAAAAAATTTCTAAAAAATTTATTTATTTAATTCTTTGGGTTATATAAGTGTAGATTCTTGCAGTTAGTATACGAAAAGCCGCAAGCACCTACACTAAGTTTTGTTTAGTAAATGTCTTTAGCTTATAAATTGTAATAATAGTCTAGTCGGCTCCTCTGTTCTAAGCATTTTATGCAAAAAAATATTTTTATCCTATTGCAGGTGGGTTTTTCTAAATAATTTTGTCCTCCACTTTTTATTTATTTATTTAGGCTAAATTAGTAATTCCAGCAGCGCCTTGTTGAATAGCCTGAATTGGATGGTATTTCATGTGGGACTTTCAACGCGGAAATCTGTCACAAGATTATAACATGAACATTGTACAAATAACCAAATGTGTGGTGATAGTGATCGTTAGTCGATGATTATTCAGAAATCGTGAGGTGCTGTCTGGTGTGATGTAGGTTTCAGAAAAACATTTTTTTCCATATCATACATGTTTTGTTAAAGTTAAACAATGTTTGTAAATCCCATGCCCTGAAGATGATCTCAATAAAGATCGAAACGTTGGCACGATAAAGAAAATGTTTTTCTGAAACGTACATCGCACCAGACTGCACCTCACGATTTCTGAATAATAAACAACCAAATTTAGATCATTGCCTCACCATACTGAAGATGGCGAAATGCAGACCTTCGCCTAACCGACAAAACCAGCAGATCAAAATTACCTTCTACGGCAAAACTACAGGTTTGTCCAGTTTGATAGGTATCGCATCTTTCAAAATTAACTATTTAATTTGTTATGATCTAATAAAAAAAGACCTGAATTTATACCTATGCTGGTTTAGTTGCATTGACTGAAGAGGACGGACCAGAACCATGCCAGGACGCGTAGGATAGACAACATAGAACCACCGAAAACGACACAGGTTCATCAAGTTTCGTACATATATTACAAAATGAACGATTTAATTTGAATAAGAAATACTATAGTTTATATTTTTTTACAGTTCGTTCATTTTTGATCATACCATCTATACCAAATCTTGCTGGTTTATTTCACTCGCTGAAGATACTGACAGACCAAGATATCGAAGATAAGGAGACCTGAAAGATCACAACAATTCAAATTACACAACAATCAAGTTAAATAAAATTTTAAAAATATATTTAAATAAAAAATTATAATTTTATGTGTGGTGTTTAGTGATCTTTAGACAATGATTCGGAGATTGTGAGATGCGATCTGGTGTGACGTAGGTTTTAGAAAAAACATTTTCTTTATTGTGGCAAAATTTTAGGGATGGTTAGAGATGGTTACAATTTTATATAGATGTCTATTTTCACCATGTAAAATGTAATATGCTGGCCATGTGTTTCATAACCTTAAACCCAAAACGCTTTTACAATAGTTTTCCATGTTAATCGTTTTCTGCACCCTTGGGAAAGTATGTATATTATTTTATTTTGCTAACTGTTAATTATATATTATTTATTTTAATTTTTAATAAATTGGTCCTGATGATGGCACTATAAGTTGCCGAAGGCTTGGTGAACCCAATAATTAGTCTTCTTCTTTCTTCACGTCTACGAAGATTGAAACTCTACGTAGATTATCTGCAGGTCGAACAACAAACATCATAAATAATAATGCCAAACAATAAATAATAACGTGGAAAAAAAGAGTATATATATATATANATATATATATGATTTAATATAAGTATTAAAACCGTATAATTTAATAACTATAATATATTTGTTAACTTGGTGACGACTCATAACGTTATAAAAAAAATCAATTGAAATATCGTAGTCTTGGTTGAAAATTAACCTTCCTTGTTCCTCAAACTGAGCATGTAAGTTACGTTTATTTATTGTTAACACTTTTTGTAATATTTGATGGTTGTAGCTTTGAGTCATAACAGCTGACGAAAGGAGAGGGCAGCACGCAGAACTCTATACTTGTTAATAAATAAAGACTACTTTTTTATAAAGTGTGTTTATGGTTGTCTCCGTCTTTGTGATATAGTGAGTTAAGACAAAAAATATATAAATTTTTATAACATACTTTATAATAGAATAAGGGTCTCAGTATTATCCCGACAAGATAATATACTTTTTTTTTTCAAATTTTGATATGATATTCGTACAAAAGCTCTTCACTTCTCTAAGAACACACAATCTGTACAGACAAACAAACGTAGACTAGAGACAAAATAATTTACAAACGTGGAAAATCTCATATTAGTCATACTTTTATTTTATTACTGACTGAATGGGCATCCGACAGCTAGGTCATATAAAAACATACATTCACGCAAATAAATACATTCCCACTTATGCATTCATTCTATTTAGTAGATGGAGTGTTCAATATCCCTCCTTCAACCTGCATACAGTAACAAACAAATCAAATTGGTGTCGAGGAATACTTTTGTAAGTATTCCGCCATCGACCCAAGTCCCGCATATCAGCTCCTCCTCATTCACTCTAATAAATACACACACTCATACAAAACAAACAAACACAAAAATTATACTTATGATAAATATGATGTGTTCGCAGGGCGATGAGCCTTCTTCCCACCTGGTCCGACTGGTCGCGGAATGGTCCGAGACGTTTCCGTACGACTTCCGGGACGAGCGAGTCATGTCGCACGTACGTCAGATCGCCCACCGTTGCGTCTCGGCCGAAGAAGGCGCCGGCGCCCAGGAGGTACGAGAAGAGGTTTCGCTCATTCTTCACAATCTGCTCAACAAACTGACAAGGCTGGAGCAATACGAGGCCTTCCTGCACAGTATACGAAAGGACTCGATAACATCCAACCCCGAAATGCTCAGCCAGGTATTTCACTCAAAGCAATCACAATTAACAATCTAGTGTTAAACCTAAGAGCTTTCAAAATCTAAGATTACTCCGCATCGAAGTGACAAATGGCGGTTAATTACATCAGAAAGGGATCAGCTTCCAAAGGTTTCTTCGGTTTCAAAATAATAGTGGAGACTCGTTCTCCAGTTCGGGTGCGGATATCTGGCCGTGGTTCGTTAGGGTGACGGTTTCAGGTCTAACAATTCACCCTGTCGTGATTGATCGACCAATCCATCTCGACCAGCAGTTTTACAAACTGCATTGAACATTAAACGGTTTTCATTACTTCACTTCCAAAAAGCAAATTAAGGCTGAAATTTACAATTACAAAAATAATTTGTATCGGTTCTTTTAGCAAATGTTGTTTTTATAATAGTCTAGACTAAATGGTGGAGTTCAACTTTTATCAACCGACATGAGAAAGTTTTCACGAGTGCTGAAAAGTTCATTACGAGTCGAGTATTTGACAGAGTTAAGTCTTACCAAGTGGAATTATGCTATGCTGGGCATGTCTAATTAACTAGTCGGTCCTGGCCGAACCGAGACGGCGAAGGAGCTTGATAATGCAATTTGTTCAAAACGTTTTCCACACCCTTTTCATGCATGTGACTTAACAACATCCGACCGCGGTACGTTCTCGAAATTAATTAAACGCAACACCTCGGAAGCTCGCTACCATTTCATAAAGGGCACAGCCTTATGCACAGAGAATAAACGCATAACTACTTAATAAACTTAACTTACTTAACTGCCAAAAATTTACATCCTTATTCCTTCTTGCTTTTCGTCAAACTATTTAAATATAAGACTTTTACAATGATAATTTCAAAATAGCACAGTGCTCGGTATGACGGTGACATGCGAACCAGAAACGATCTTTAATGTCCTTTAAGACATTCCTAAAATCTATCGTACTTTTTTTGTGTATTATCACACTTTGCTCAGTGGTCTATTCTGCTCAAATCTGGCGGTGTTCAGCAAAATAAGATACATAAAAAATTTTTGTGATTTTTTTAAATAAAAATTACTTGCTTTGTCATCGGTCAGCCTGAACTGTATACTGGCTTCTAATCAAACTTCTTGACAAATTAGGATTTACCGGTGTGCTATAGGTACAAGAACAAGTGATACAATAGTTCTCACAAGGCTCAGTATATCAAATACCCCGAATATTAAATTTTTCAATACCTTTTTTTTACTTTTATTTTTTTCTCGTTAACCATTTTTGGGACTGGATCTGACGGAGTTAACATACGCAAAGAGAAATGTGGGATGAGTTAATTTTTGTCAAAAATTGAGTTAAATTTATAAACTAACCGTCTTCATGTAAGTCACTCAAAGTTAGAAGCACGAAAACAAATTTATTGACTTCTATAAGGTCATGATTATTATACCGATTTCTCTAAGAACTAAGATCCTCCTAAGTTTGGCTGGAACGTTTGGCACCATCCTGTATAATTTCACTTCGTACATCTTCCAGCTCTCGCTTCCAATTTTATTTATGTATTTTTTAATTTTAACTACATGTCTCTATTATATTATTGTGTTGTACATTAGAAGGCGGAAATATATATTCCAATAATATTTTTCATAAATAAAATCCGTAGATAAGAAAGGACGGTTCTAGCACCTCGGCCACCTTATCCAACCACCTGATCAGTTCCACCAATGTGTTCAATGAAAATTTAATTTTTTATGATTTTTAACGTGCCACTTAAAAAATTATTAGTTTTTGAAACGTGTGGGTGGTGATTAGTGACCGTAACTGGATGATTAGTCAGAAATCGTGAGATGCGGTCTGGTGTGATGCAGGTTTCAGAAAAACATTTTCTTTATCGTGCCAACGTTTCGATCTTTATTGAGATCATCTTCAGGGCCTGGGATTTACAAACATTGTTTACATTTAACAAATGCATGTAGGATGTGGTAAAAAGGGAATTTATACAATGCAAATAAATATACTTTTTATATTCAATCAAAGTATTTCTACTCACTCAAAGTGTTTACGCAAAAACAAAAGTGTATACGCAGAAAACAAACACTTTCAGGTCCTGTAATTTACAAAAATTGTTTAAATTTAACAAATACATGTAAGGTGTGGAAAAAAGTTAATTTATACAATGCAAAAAAATATACTTTTTATATTCAATCAAAGTATTTCTACTCACTCAAAGTGTTTACGCAAAAACAAAAGTGTGTACGCAGAAAACAAACACTTTCAGGTCCTGGAATTTACCATAATTGTTTAAATTTAACAAATACATGTAGGGTGCAAAAAAAAGTGAATTTATACAATGCAAAAAAATATACTTTTTATATTCAATCAAAGTATTTCTACTCGCTCAAAGTGTTTACGCAAAAACAAAAGTGTGTACGCAGAAATCAAACACTTTCATGTAGGATGTGGAAAAAAGTGAATTTATACAATGCAAAAAAATATACTTTTTATATTCAAGCAAAGTATTTCTACTCGCTCAAAGTGTATGTTATTTATTGTATAAATTCATTTTTTCCACATCCTACATGTATTTGTTAAATTTATACAATGTTTATAAATCCCAGGCCCTGAAGATGATCTCAATGAAGATCGAAACGTTGGCACGACAAAGAAAATGTTTTTCTGAAACCTACATCACACCAGAACGCATCTCACGCTTTTTGAATAATTAGTTTTTGAATCATTTCAAAAATGTAGGGAAAACAGGTTTTAATTAAAAGAAACCTGTTTGACCTTGTATATGACCTCTGCTTCTATAAGGTCATGATTATTATACCAATTCCTCTAAGAACTTAAGTTTGGCTGGAACGTTTGGCTCCACCCTGTATAATTTCAGTTCGTACATCTTACAGCTCTCTCTTCCAATTATATTTATTCTTTTAATTTTAACTACATGTGCATATTATATCATTCTGTATTATTGGGTTGTACTTATAGGCAAATACAGCTCGAATTAGAGAAAAAATGGGTAAACAATGAATCACATTTCTCTTTAAGTTAATAATTACAAGAATTTTGTATGACCAAATCAGCAATGATTAATAATATATTTTGACATCTAGATATTTTATTTAATCAAAAAGTTGTTCCTTATTAAACTTATAGATAATATGTAAAATGTTTTGATTTTTTGTTTTGTCGTATTCTTCCTGTTTTAACACACATCATTTATCTTTTCATATGGAATTTTTCCAAAGAAAATTCTGAAAAAACGCTTAACATGTCGACGTGTTAAAACTTGTCTGATTTGCAATATCATCGACCAGGATGATCGGAAATGGTCAAGCTACATATTACTCGATGACAGGAAGCTTTTGTGTTTTTCATTTATCTCCATATTTTACGTCTCTGACATGGTTCAATAATAACTCTTTGTTTAATCCGACACTGCTGCGACGGCGTACGTTAAGCCATTAAAAAAATAAACTTTAATACCAAGGAGTTGTGACATTGTCTTTCCGTAATCTCCTTACAGCTATCATTTTTACTTAAGAGGTAAGTAACGTCGGAAAAGTCGCGAAGTCGGGTCAAGTGCAAACCTCGTGACTTGATCCTTGCCCTTTGTTAACAATTTTCTGAAATGAGAGCGCATTTTCTAAGGAAAACCCCTTATGAATAAGGACGGATCCGATAACAAGCATAAAATGTTAAACACTGACTTTTTTAATATAAAATAAACATGCCGATAAAACAATTATTTTAAATGGGGCATAGACAGAGTGGTGCGAACAAACAGACTTTGGGATATCACATTATTTGACGTGGTGATCAAGAGCATGCCTTATGTACAGGATAACATTTTTCATAGCAAGAAAGCATAGTGTGTGTTGACATTAGAAAAAAATTATCCATGTTATCATTTTGAATAAAAATGCTTCACTTGTAAGTGCGCATGCGCCAGGAATTTTTATAATTCGAGTTTGTTAGCGGTAAATTGTTATTCAAGAAAAAATACGAGCGTTGGATTCGAACCTGTGACAATTATCATACTGATTATCGCTGTGTGTACGCCTTAACCGCTTCTACCTCCGACGCCCCACTCGAACAACTTAGACAATTAAGTGCAAAGTGAGAATTTGGTTTGATTCTCCTTTAGGCAATAAAAATCCCAAAGTACAAAGCAAGGCGCTTGAATAGACACCCCCTTACCAACATGACTGATCGGTCGTGCAGGTTTAGCGTAGCAAAGCGCCGTTTTTTCTAAATTTTTGTTGATAACTTTTTAACTATTAAGTTTTTGAAAATAATGATACAGTAAAAGTTGTAGAAAGTGAAATTTCATGGATGATTGCGGAAAGAGCCATTTTGACTGGAGGTTGAATATCTTGAGGTTTTCATCTTTCGGATTCTTTTCATAGTTAACAATATCATGTGGATTCTCAAGAAAAATGAAGGCACGCGAGCCTAAAAACCGCCTTAATTTGTAAAATTGTAATAAAACGTAAAATTACGGACTGTTATCTCCCTCATTTTTTATGAGAAAACATGTGATGGATTTATATATGATGAGATTTAGAAAAAGACAATCTCCGGATTTTCGTCCAACAGACCAAATGTCACTTTCCGCGATGCACACTCATTAATACAAAAAACACTGGCAAAATTATCGTCATTATATCACGGTCGTGATCATTTTCAGTGTTAGAAGTCTCAATAAATTTTTCATTTACGAACTCTCTGGATCAACGTATGACATTGAATAAGAAAGCACAATTTAGTTGCTTACGACCTATTTTAAGCTCATCATCAGGGCCTATATTTTCAATGGGAAATTAAAATAGGTCCTGAGGGATACCTTCCGTTGGGAAGGATTGTACCTTTACCAATTTACGAGGATGATTGATGTAAATGAGGAAAAAATCAACCCACTGCTGGTGGTCATTTCATTCCAAAAAATACACCCTCGTAAAATAGTGAAAGAACCAGTTTCTCTTAGCCTCTGATGAAGTCGTTGGAAGGTGCGATCTGCTGAAATGTC